AAGGTGATTGTGAACATCTATATCTTGTGCGAAGGGGATGAAGAAACAGGTGATCAACTTTTCTTGCATTGTCCTATTGCTTTCCAGTTGTCGCAGTGGACTTTTAGCCTTATGGGTATTATGATGCCTTTGTCAGCGTCTCATAAGGATATACTTCAACTACTGTTTTTACCCAACCTGCCGAAGAAAGAAGTGGCCATTTGAAATAATTTTAGGGGGTCGTTGTTATTGGAAATCTGCCTGGAAAGAAATCGTTGCACTTTTGATGGGATTGGTTATGATATGCAGAGAATTAACGAGAGAATAATTCATAACATGTGGTTCTGACACTCAAATACAAAGGAAGGATATGGCATTTCAAAAGTAGATGTGGTACAAAATTTAAATAGTTTAGTTTTGCAAAGTGTCTCAAGTTCTAAACCGAGTAGTCGTTGGATTCCACCAAATCAAGGATGTGTGAAATTGAACTTTGACGGACGTTCTTTTCGAAATCTAGAACCAACATGAGTTGGAGGATTAATTACAAATTTAAATGGTCAGATAAGGTATACCTTCTCACATCCTTATGGTGAAGCTAACAAAGCTGAAACTATGGCTCTCCTACAGGGCATGAAAATTTTAAGAGATAAATATGTTGATTTCAATTAACTGGTGAAAGGGGACTCGTTAAATGCTATAAATGGTGTAATTTGATTGGAAGCCACCTTGGAATTTGAGAGATTCATGGAATGAAATCTGGGATGTTTGTCGAAATCGGGAAGTTGTTTTTCAACATATTTATCGGGAAGCTAATGATAAAGTTGACAACTTGGCAAAAGGGAGAGCTTATCTACAAGAGATTTTATTTTCTTTTGCTTGATTGTAATTCGTATGTAAGCAGGTTCAAGCCATAAAATTTTCGTACTCTTGTCAAAAAAAAAAAAATTCCTTAAAACAATAATACTAAGCCAAAAGACTGTGATCGAATAAAAGTACAGTTTTATGTGTCAGTGGGTGCAATTTATGGGAGTTAGTAGATGCAAGAGCATGCTGACCCCCTAACCTCCATCTTTAAGTTGGAGGTTGTATATAAAGAGCACCAATGGTAGCTAGGGAATATATATGTTTTTTTTCTTTATTCATAATCATCTTGACCAAGATCATGAAATCCCCAAAATTTGGATAAAAAAATCATCTTTAAGATAAATTTCGAAGGGAGACGGATGTGTAGAAATGAGAAGGCCCATTCATAGCAAACCCTTCCTATAATAAAAGGGCAAGCTTTCTATGTTTCACCTACAATATAAAACTTATATACTTTTCCTTATCCAACCGTCCGTTTTGAGTGGAGGGCTAAAGATGGCCCCAATCATAATGTCACATCAACACTATTTTATTTTAAAAAAATTTTCTATAAAATATTTTGGCACCAAATTTTAGATGTCCAATCCTCTATTAAACTTGCACATCTAAAAAATATAAAAAGATATTTTCAATAAAATAATAAAAATAAAAATACCCCTAAAAGTTTCAAAAGATATTTTGGTCATTATATTTTATTGAAAAATTATTTTTAATATTTTTTTTAGGTGCGCCCCATTGAGAAGATGACACGTACAAAATTTCATATTCATACAATCTGTATAAAAAAAATTAAAAATAAAATGCTCTGAGATGTTGGATCTAAGATTAAACGGTGAGTGACTCACTTAATCAAAATTGGATGGCTAGATGGTAGGGAAAGCATAGAACTTCTATATTGTAGGGGAAATATAGAAACCTACTTCTATGTTGTAGGGGAAATATAGAAACCTTTCCCATAATAAAAACACTTTATTGTGCACTTTAATTATGCAATTGAAAAATAACTTTAATTAATAAATTAGGTTTGATAAAACCAACCATTTTGCTATAAGATTTCATGCTCCCACACAGGAGTACATTGTCCATTTACTCTGTCAAAGATCCATTTTAGGGGTATCCATAGGACCTCAAATTTTGGAGATGTAAACTCTTTTCAACCCATAGACTAATATCAATAGAAAACAGTTTTAAATTGCACTCTCTATGCACTTGAAAAAAATAATGCCTTAGGAATGAATAGAGAATGTACAATTTTTAGAAAGTGAGATCTAAATAAAGTCAAATTCAAATCTTTTTATTTTGAAAATAATGTAGTTAGGGGTGGTAATGGGTCGGGTCCGACTGGACCCAAACCCAGACCCGAATGTATTCAGGTCCAGGTTTTGGACCCATACCAATACCCTTCGAGTCCCAAGTCTATCATGTCAAGTCTCGGGTCTAGTCAGGTCCATTGCCACTCTCACTATAAGCTTCCTTTTTTGTGGCCTACAATGGTGAACAATAGATAACTAATTTTTGAGGGGTGGGCGATTAGAGCGAGAGAGACATTCGAGATCCAGAGAGAGAGCTATATCTCCCAGAAACTGAGAAAGGGAGAAAAACAGAGAGGAGGCACGACAATGGGTTTTGGCGGTTTGAGGAACCAAGGGAAGACGAAAAGTATTGAAACAATTTTAGGTTGGGGCTTTGGCCTTTGGGTAAACTAACAATTCGAGTTCGAGTACTCGTCAAGTCGGGTATAGTAGGACCCATACTCCGACCCGGGACTATCCGAGTATCTTTTATTGGACCCTAACCCAAAACTTGGACTGATACCCGAACCCATGTCAGATATACCATGCAGGTATGGGTCGGGTCCGAGTCCATTGCCACCCCTACGTCTAGTGATTCTGAGGTGGTTCCCAAAATGTCATTTGGAAAGATTTCTCCTAAGTAGGACTTAAGTATACCAAATTCTCTAGTGAATTTTAGGTGGTTCCCAAAATTTGACGCGGAAAAAAATCCTCCTAGATAAGTGTACAATATAAGAATATGAAGTCTTCTTAGTTTTAAAGGAAGGAAAAAGTTTATATAGAGCCGAGGCTCTAAACAATCACATTTGAGCCTACTTCAAAAAGTTTATTAGAAGATGTTGTTTTGGTGCTCAAATATCTTCAAATTGATCATCTCGACATCAAGATGCATGGATATGAGAAAAAATTGGATTTTAAGTTTTGAAAATAATGTATTTTGTAACGCACTTTTAGATTTTGTCGATCTAAGTTTTCATAGATTTTGTCGATCTATATTATTTTTGAAGCTATAAAGTTTAAACTTTATAAATAAATATAAAAACATATTTTAAAGTTATTATAAAGATTTTTAATAATAAAATAATATTTTTTGACATTGTTTAAAGTTAGGCTATTGTTTAGAACCTGGGCTCCGTACAATCGGCTCCCTTAAAGGAAATGTACACAATGGGATTATTTAATGTATATAACGAGACTATTTACTTTTGAAACGATGAGATCTCAGTGAGTGTTATATTTGAAATGAGATGGTTGGTTGAGGTACGTCATTATTTTGGTCCGAAGTCAAAAAATCAGAGTTCTCAAAACGTCGTGATGGGCATTCAACCATTGGATTCAAATCCAATGGTTAAAAATAATTTTGACATCCTTCAACCAAAATTCAGTAGTATACAATCCCAGTTTAAAAGCACCATTTGTTCCTAACATAGTGTCGTCACCGGCCAGTTATCACGGCTAATAACAGACTCACAGTATGATCCCGCAAGAGCAGAAAAATACTGTCTCAATAAAATGAGATAACGCTCGGCTCGTACCATACGAGTCGTACACGTAACAAAAAGAGATCGCGCGATACCACCAACTAAGTCCAAGAGAATGTCATATTTTTCTTGGATTTAAAAGGAATTTATGGTGCATTTGGTGTGCACGTGTCAACTTCAGACCCAATCAATTACTCGCAATTTTTTCTTCTCAATAAGAACACCCTTAGGTTTAGCAAAACAGAAAGCTGAGATCTAACTTCCTAGAGCTCTTTACCCAACTTAACCTTTAAAAAAGAAAGGAAAAAGGTTAAGACGCCTAAAAAAATGTGGAATTAAAGTATACTTCTAACATTTTTTTTTCTTTTTTTTACAAAAGAGGGTTGTTTTGATGTTGAAAAATATTTACTTAATAATTTCAACAATATCAAAATTTCAAGTCTTAAATAGTACATTTTGTAAAACATTATTTTGGAATGTCTATTTCAAGATTTTCATACATTAATAGATCTGCTTGATTTTAATCATTTTTGAAGTTTAAAATTTTATAATTAAAAATATATATATATTCTTGTACCATTCTAAGAATTTTTTAAACCAAAATTAACAAAGTCTAGAAGTGCACATTAATTTGATTATTTAAAATTGCAACCTTATTCAAACCACACCAAAAAAAATGGAAAAATCCTTCAAACGAAAAGTATAAGCTGGATCCCTCAAACAAAAAATATGAGGCCTAACTCGCTTAAGGGCTGGCAATGGGCCACCCCAACCATGGTCCTAGTCCACATATGGGTCAGACGTGAGCCAAGCCTAAATTGGGCCAAAGATGCCATGGCCCTATCTGCGTCTAATGCGCTCAAAGTAAAAAAGAAAAATAAATAACTAAATAAACAAAACAGGCCAGCCCAAGCCTTTTAGGCCCACACATGGCCCTCAGCCAGGCCACATGCCGTAATATTTTAGACCTAACCCGACCAATCCGGGCTGCGGGGCCCATTGTCAGTCCTAAGCGTAATTTTTCTCCTGTCTCAATAGAAACCTCTTACTCTGTCTCTTCCACAAGGGTAACGATCAAGATATGTTCTGGCATTTCGATGAGCTCAAAAAATGAGGTGCAAGCTTAAGGCAACCACAAATTTTTAGAGAAAAACAAAAAGACATCGCAGTATGTGTAAGATAACACAGTTTATGGACACCACGCATAATATTCTATTAAATTCTTTTCTATATGTGGACATAAATTCTCTCTCTCTCCATACATATACACTAATCAGTTTTTTTCCTTTGAGCTCGTCTTCTCCAAGGCACACAACACCTTGTTCTCTGTTTCCAAATCCCCTCCTCCAAGCTCATCTCTCTTCCTCTAGACTGCAACTGATCAATGGGCTGTGCATCATCAAAGAGTGTAGAGACCTCGCTTGCCGTCGACTCCTATCGCCCCGCCGGAGCAAGCATTGCTCTCCTCGATATCGATGTTCTTCGAGATCCATTCCTCTTCCCCTCGGAGCAGCAACCATCAAAGGCTAAGCCCCAAGATGATGAACTCATCTTACACAAACTCACCACATTTGAATATGCCTCTGATGCTCCACACTCATGGTCTGAGGTAAGTAAAATCTTAGAAAACCTTAAACCTGCCTTAGACGAGAATAAGACTAAGAAACCGACTGTCGAATCTGAAAATTCGCAAGAATTGATGAAAGGTTTAGAGGATGATGCAAGTGTTAACACTAAGCCTACCAAAATATCAATTCCCCCAACAGGAACAAAGGCTGATAAGGGATTTTCATTTCACACCGTTGAAGAATTGGATGCGAAATTGAGCAAGAAAACAACAGGCAAAAATGAAGATTTGGATTTGAAGGTGGTTAAGAAAACAATGGCAAAATCTTCATCTTTGCCCTCAGGAGAGTCCCTAGAGGTTAGAAATAAGAGGATTAATGAGGTTTCTAAAGGTGGGGAGTTCAAATCTGTGAAAGACAATATCTTCATAGTTAGAGATAGAGAGGCCAAATTCCAAAACCCAGAGCAAAGAGAAAGATGGCTGTGGAGAATGGACCCCTTACATGGCTACCCTGAAATGTGCCCTCCGAACGGCGCAGGCTCTGTGGTGTTTTACACAACAACGCTACGTGGGGTCCGGCGAACATTCGAGGATTGCCAAAAGATGAAATCCATGATCGAGATATGTCGGATCCCGGCCGACGTTCGAGACGTGTCGTTGCACTCGGAGTTCTTGACAGAGTTGAGAGAGTTGCTGGGAGAGGAGGTGAATGTGCCCAGGCTTTTTATCAGGGGTAGATACATAGGAGGCATTGAGGAGGTTGAGAAGCTGAATGAGGATGGAAAGCTTGTTCCAATGATAGAGAGAGTGGGAATTAAGAGAGAGATTGGGGAGAATGGTTTGGAAGTGTGTGGTGGTTGTGGGGGGATGAGGTTCATGCCATGCTTGAAATGCAGTGGGAGTTGCAAGATTTTGAATGAGGAGAAGGTTGTGGAAAGATGTCCTGATTGCAACGAGAATGGTCTCATATTATGCCCAATTTGCCATTGAAATGCAATGGGGAATGCATAGATTATTTATTATGATTTTTTTTTTCTTTTTCTCATTACTTCCCTCTCTTTTTCACATTACATCTCTTTCTTCCTCTCTCTCTACTCTCTCTCTCTCTCTAAAGTGTGACACTTGAAGACTATGCTGGATGATAGATATTCAGGGGAATTTTCATGATTTACCATGTACAAGTGTAAGATATATGAAGTGTAATATGATTGAATAAGGTCACAGTCAATTTTAGCTATTGGAAGTAAAATTTATATATTGAAGTGTGTCACTACATTTGAGAAATTTTATTTTGGATTTTGGGCTCATCAACCGTAGATCCTAAATTGTCAGATTTCACATACAATAATCAATACTGATTGTGACATCTTTGTATAAAAAATAAATAGTCTCATAGTATATATTTCCATAAATAAGACATTAGCCATCTAACTGCTTGATCTAATTGTTTTTTCAAGAATGTATTTAACCTTCAGATTTCAAATCCAATCACATTGATTCAACTTTTATTTTTATTTTATTTTTTTAATAATCTAATTCAAAATTTTATCAGCTGAAGTTTATTAGATAATGAGATTTTGTTGTATATGAAACTTTACTCATACGCAGCCTGTAAATGGGCTGGCCAACCCAATAACATCCAGGCATGAACCCTTTGACTCTAGCCTACAAGTTGGGTCCAAGAATTAAATTTGGGCTCGGCTTCTAGGCTAGTCATGGGCAGCGTTTTATGGCTTGGCACGGCCCTGCAGGTCGAAATCATTAAAAAATATATTAAAACTTTTAAAAGGTAGTTTGGATGAGATATAATCTTAGATAATAGCAATAAAAATGCGTATTTACTAACCATTAAAGCCTGAGTGATATGTTGTTTTGCAAAGAGAAAGTATGTGTAGCAGGTTAAAATGGAAGGTATATATTACAATCAATATATATGGGAAAGGTTAGTAGAGTATCTGTATTTTATGATAAGTCTTGTTGGATTTGGTGCTATCCAAATCACCATTATAAGGAAATCCTATAATTTATGGGATTGAGATATTTCCATATTATGTGATATTGAGATTGATATTGATAAGTTTTTTAAAAAAAATAGAAATCCAAAAAGATTAGGACTCTTAGATTTATCTCGTGGTTTTGAGATATAAGTAAAATCTATAAAAAGTTTTTTATTTAGTATGGACTCCTAATCTTATATAGGATAAAAGTGCAAAAAATTCATGTGCCCTATTTGGGTCACCTTATGGGAATAGTGGTTCCTTTAGAGAGAGAGGGAGATAGAGCCTCTTGTGCATAATATGCGATTTTCTCTCGGTGAAAAGAGAGCTTCATATGAAGAGAAACATTGATGATACTTTGTTAGAGAGAGTAGAGGTTCCTATGAAGAGAAACATTGATGATTTCTCCTGAAAACTCCTGCAGAGTGAGAGGTTGGTTTCTTGTAGAGAAACAGTTTCCATGGAGATTTTGGGTTGTTTCCCTTTTTAATGAGATAAAGTTTTGTTTGCTATCAAAGTTGTTCTCTTTCTGGATAGTGGTCAAATTATGGAATAGAGATGAGAGAATCTGCATGGTGCCATTTGGGAGAGCAAGTTTAAAAAGGGTTTGCTCGACTGTGTTTTTGTCAAGGTTTGTTCCAAAAATTTTGATGTTATTTTCATTGGTACAGTGAATTTCTATTTGTCGTGCCCACGGATGTGGCCCTCTTGGGTGAACCACGTAAATCTTTGTGTTCTTGTGGTGTGTATTTCGTGTTATATTTCTTATACTTTATTTGCCAAAAATCAACCCATTGGGTTTAGAGCTCCGCGCACAACAAGTGGTATCAGAGCACAACAAGTCTGTGTATGATTTATGGTATATGTACTTCGTATGATTGAGTTTGCTTGTTCTGTTACACAATCATGTGTGTTTTAGTCTATGAGCTAGTCAATCTGTTGGCTCTTCCAATTGTCATTATGTTTTTCTCGGCTATCTCAACTGTTTTTCTGTCTTCGGTGAAAATCTGGAATTTTTCTGTTCCTAAGCTTGTTGATCAGCCGCTGCTTTCTATGCTTTTTGATCACGCAATCTGAGCATAACAACCATTACATCTACTGGTCATGCTATAGATCTAAAGATCCAACTGCTCGTTTCAGCCATTAGTGTTCAAACTCCAACTGCTCTCTCTCATAGCATCTTGAGTTTGAGAGGGAGTGTGAAAGAAAAGTATATATTGTATATCAGGTTAATACAAAAAATATAAATTGCAATCAATATATATGAGAATGGTTAGTAGAGTATATGTATTTCATGGTAAGTCTAGATATACTTTAAGTATCTATGATTTAATTTCTATTATTATCATATGTAATTTGTCTATAAAAGATAAATCTATATATTCATATGATACACAAGGAGTCTTTTCAAAGAAACGTGAGACTCTTCACATATTTTACTTCATAGTTTGTTGCTCAGACCCTCCTTTTTTTAGGGCTAGGGCCAACCGGGCCACAATTGGTGGCCCAGACTGTACTTTTTAAGGCAAGGCCAACTTGGCTTGGTAGGGCCACCCGATCCATTGCCAGTCCTATGTGGGATGTGTGGTATCACAAACAAACCAAGAAAGTGGCGGTACACCTTCTATGGAGCATATAAATCTAAGCTTCCAACATGATTCTAAAATACAATGCTCATCTTAGTCACCCTAGGAAAAATGTCAGATTTATGAAAGATTTGGATATATTGGCTTTGACGTATTGGCATTTTACCAAACAAAAGATATTCCTCAAGCTCTTGCTACAGTTACTATAGTTGATTCACAAGACTCAAAATGGTTCCTAAACACCGGTGCCTTAACTCATATGACAGGAGACCCAGGTAAACTTCAAAATCTTTGCCCTTATAATGGTACATATAGAGTCATGGTTGGCAATGGTGAGCAATGGACTTTCACAAGTTGGTGATGCTAATATTGATATTTGGTTTAGAAAATTTAATATTTGGAAAGTTTTTTTGGTGATAGAGATGAAAAAGAATTTATTACGTTGGACAGTTTACATAAAAATCTCCTTGTATTTCTTAGTTCTCATTAAGAGATTTTCTGATTAAGGAAAGGAGCACAGGGAGAACTCTAACTAGCGTGAGTAGATGTGTGGCATCAACAGCTGAGTAGATGTGTGGCATCAACGGCTCGGACATCCTCAAAATAAAGTAATCTGGTACTTGGAATCTAAAATAGTTGATTAATGTTGATGTATCCATTTTATTTGTGCTAGTTGTCAGATGAAAAAAGTAATAATTCACATTTAATAGTATTGATAAGAACATCTACAGGACCTCTTTTTAAGATTTGCTCAGACTTATGGGATCCTGCTCCAATTTTATTTATTCAGAGTTATTGCTTTTATGTGGTTTTTGTAGATAATTATGCTCATTATTTCTTGGATTTATTCTTTGAAAAGAAATTTTAAAATTTTCTCGGCAATTATGGAATTTCATCATATGGTTGAATATAAATTTGAAAGATAAATTCGAATCTTTCAATGTGATGGAGGTAATGAGCTTGCTAAGAAAGAATTCATTGCTCATCTTAGTGATAATGAAATTGTGTAACAGATATCATGTCCATGAATCCCCGAACAAAATGGAATAGATGAAATGAAACTTATAAATATTGTGTAATGGGTTCTTAAAATGATGTTTTATGTGGGAATTCCTAAATAATTTTGGCTTGAAGGTTTTCATAATATTCTCTTGGCCAATTTAAAAATAGATTCATCGTACTCTTTGGTGTTTGGTCGCTTCCCACACTATTCTTTGCTCAAGGTTTTTGGGTTTTGGTATCCTTCGAGACTATGCTGCAGATAAAATTAGTCATTGCTCTCCTTCATGTGCATTTTTGAGATACAATACTCAACATAAGGGTTACGGATGTCTGCATCCATCCACATGGCGAGTCTATAGTTCCAGATATGTTGTATTTGATGAAAATATTTATCCATATGTTAATCCAAACTCTTTGTTTGATAGTTCTCGGGTAGGGGGAGCTGACTGCTTATGCAAAATGGTATGAGTGTTATGAACTTGACATACCGACATCATCTTCTTCTTATTCATCACCTACACATAAACCACCCATAAGAGTTTCCCGAGATGTTTATGCTCCTCCAACTGATTTGCCTCCCAATAATAATAGCCCTCTCATTTCTCTTGTAGAGGAAGATGTATCACTATGACACCAATACAAGATGTCAAAGATGATGCATTGTGCGCTCATGGTGATGAAAATGTCGTCTAACCAAGAAACCAACCAATCTGATTTTTTACCGGCCCATAAGCACCATTTTCATCACATGATTACAAGAACTCAACGTGGTATTGGCCTCTTATTGCCCTACAAATATCTCTTAGCAAGAAACCATTGTTGCCCTACAACTCTCTTTGAGCAAGATAGTATTGGCTTCAGACCGAAGAGATATTTTGGAAAAAAAAAAAAAGGGAAACGCATTGACTGACCTTTTGTGTAATTTTCACCTAAAATTGGCCCAGTTCATATATTTTTTCGTCCGTACATTAATTACTCAATAAAATATTTGGCCTAATTTAAGGAAAGCTCAACAGTTTTGTAAGAATTGCACTTATAAATATCTTTATCAAAGTACACTCTTTACATGGCATAACCTTCTCACACGCGCGATCATTAACATAAGCGGCAAAATTATATCCACGCTTCCATTCAAAGCTTATTTTCCCATGGAAAATATATATATATATATAAAATAATAATCAAGTGGGCTCCAGCCCATAGTGGCAAGCTGCAATTTAAAACCCTAACGAACGAAAGAATTTGAAATATTTATGCCCGTAACCCTAGCCACCTTGCCGGGCTATACCCTAATCCGGGCTATACCCACCTTGCCACCCTGCTTTCACGTGCCTAGGGCTTGGGCTCCGCAGCATACGGCTTGGCCTCACACCCCCACCTGAGCTCGACGAGTCTCCACCACCGGACCACCCAGTTCGCTTTGTCTGAGACAAGGTCCGAGCCTTGGCTCGTGCTGATGTAGTTGGAGCCATGTAACTAGGAATTGCCAACTTTCCTTGAGGCTTCTCCTCATTGTGTTCGATTGGGGGCGAACCGCACCAACGTGCCCTTGCAGGACTCGAAGAGTGATTGCTCGGAATTTGAGATGAGTGTGGCCCGGCACCTGTGTCCATCTCGACAGTTCTCTCGGAGGTGTTATCCGTGTTAGTATTGGTGAGGGTGACATAGGAGCTCTCAGGAGGTGGTGCAGTTCCAGAATGGGATTCCCAGGGGCGGGCGGCCATCCAACGCTCAAGCCAGTTCCATCCCCAGTGTGGCCTGCCAGAAGAGGAGTCATCGCTAACAAATTGCAGGTGGTTGTTGGAGTCCGATCGCCAAAGCTATAGCAGTGAAATGTCATGAAATGGGAAGTTATCAGACAAGCCGATTTAGATACAGAAGATGAGAAAATAATGGATTTCATAAATATAAATTTGGATTCAGTTGGTTCCCGAACTGATCCAAATAATTGGAATAAAGCTTGCATGATGATAATGTTTCAATTGGTTCCCGAGTCAACCATACCAAGCATATAACCAAAATAATTTGGAAAACTAATTGCTATAGAAATGATTCAAAATTTAGAAGCCATATTCAATATGTTTAAATCCATCATAAGAGAAATTAGAGGGAAAGAGTAACTGCAAATAAAAGTGAAAGAGAACAATATGTAAGTAAAGGAAAACTATATGAAAGAAAAGAAAAACTACATGAAACATATAATTTGTGATATGTAAAGCGGTGTAAACTTGTTACGTTGTAAACTCATTTTAAAGAAGGCAACCTTGCATTGCTGATCAGCGATGGAAAATTCAACATGCTTATAGAGAGGCCAATATGGCTGCACACTCTTTGGCCAAAGCAGCTGTCTCTTTAAATGAAGCAACTGTATTGAGTGTGCACCCCCTGATTTTGTAATGTCTTTTATTTTTTATTTTTATCTGATGTTCCTAGTGTTTCCTTGCCAAGGGTTTTATAAGAAGTGTTCATGTAATACCTCGTTTGATTCTTTAGTAAAATGGGTAGGGACTCAATATCCCTACTGATTTACTCAAAAAATAAAAATAAAAAATAAACGCAATCTTGTTTCACTTTTTTTTTTTTGTTTTAGCAAAAACTCAAATTTCGCACTTCTAAATCACAAGCCTCGGATTGAATCGACCAAGTCAACTGGATTGGCCATATATATCTATTATATTCTTGGCAAATGGGGGTTTTCTCTTAAGGGAAGGGTCCGATCTTTGGCAGCGATTCATACTTTACTCAACACGGGTTCGGCCTGCACAATGCATGGCTTCTTATAATATGATATGATAATCTTATGGTAGGTACTGTTTATGCACAGTTAGATCGGAAAACTTTTAGTAGAAGAATAATATCTTCTCCCAAACTTTGTGGTGCTTTAGATTCACATGATATAACTAGAAGTTTTTTCACAACCTTTCGTTAGATAGTTATGTGTTTTAGTCTATCTTTTCCATTTTTTAATTATTTATCAACTGAGATTTTTCTATCTTTTCCATTTTCCCGGTGATTTTGTGTCCTCTCAGGCACCAATTCTAGTCCATCCACTTGAAACGGAAGATTATATATATGGAAATCCACAGGTCTATTCTGTCGACTTCCATGGTCTTGAACATGGGAAAAAAATTGAGTATTTGAGCCTTCCAAATTTGAGTATTTGAGTCTAATTCTTCAATTATCATCAGATCTCCACCAGTTGAGGGAGATGAGAGGTACAAATGGATTTGCATTAATTTAGCATGTGTCCCTACGACACCAAAACCGGGCCGAACTTCTCAAAAGCCTGCCCACTTCTGTAGAACCGCGGCAACATTTCACATCCAAAACCCCCAAAAAACATGTCGGATTCATAGTAAACTTTTAAAAAATGTTTCAAAGAAACTCATCCATAAAAGTTATTTTATTGGAAGGGGTTGGGGCGTGGTGGCAGCATCCCTATATCCTAGTTACTACGTTGTGGTTGTCATTCTTACTAACACCACCCCAATAACATTTTTGAAAAAAAAAAAGAAAACTCTACAGATTTATGAGAGATCCAATTTAAGAACGAGAAAGTATCTTCATATCCCCTATTTTTAAGTTTTATTTTTTGATAAACCCAAGGTTTCAAAAGATATCGTCTAACCCCTGGTAACTTTAAACGTACTTTTTAACCTAAACAAATGTGAGAAAGGCATGCTATTTTTAAACCCAATTCTTTCTCTCTTCACTTATATACTCCAAACTTCTCTATTTCTCTCTCTTCGTACATATTTTGTACTTTTTCTCTCCTCTTATGTTTTTCCAAACACATCCCTCTCCTCCCGGTAACTTCTCACCTCCATGAAGCCATTCTCTCTCTCTCTTTAGAAGTTTGGAAGGATGGCTTTTAGAAAAGACATGTCTTTTTAGATTTGTTTGACCTAAAAAAACAGGTTTAAATCAGTGCTTCAAAATATCTTTTAAAACATTAGGTCTATTGTAAAATAAAACTTAAAAATAAAAGTATGGAGATATTTTCCCTTTAAAAAAAACATCTCTTCAAATTGTAACTTTGAAACTTGAAAGTAAGCTAAAAAACTGCATCCAAAAAATTTATTAGATGAAAGATTTTGAAAGATGGCACACAGAATAATACCTGATGTGTGACCGCATATGCGAGAGCTCGCTCACGCTTGATCACAGCCTCATGTTTTCGCCTCGAACTCATCCGAAAATCATCTACATTTTGTGGCCCAGCGTTCCAACTATTACTCAGTCTCCTCCTATCACCTTCTTCATATTCCTCTTCGTCCTCCTCTTCTTCTGCATATTCTTTTTCATTTTCTTTCTTATTTTGAAGTTCTTCTTGGGCTATTTGCAGGCGACGAGCCCGGACCCTGGCCTGCACGCGTGCTAGCGCCTGCATGCAACGCATGGTCATTTGGGCCTGCTTCCGAACATTGTGGCCTCGAACTAGTGCCTGCAGCCTCACTAGCCCTCTCAAAGCTCGTAGGGCTCTTCTTGCCTGAAATAATTAATTATAAATAAGACATTATCATCATCATCCTTATCGTTCACAAATAAATATTCTTGTAACATCTATATTTAAATATAGAATCGTCTATTTTGCATTACATGCAAAGGTCTTACTTTTATTTTTCATCTCCATATTACTCTGCTTTGGACACCCAATGTCTGAAACTTATATCACACTTAAAAATATAATAAAGATGAGTAGGATTAGACATTGAGTGTATCAACCCCCTCACTTTTTCTTTTGGTAAGTGGGAGGAGATTGGTTGGGGTATTGGGTGTTCAAACAATTGGTAATTTGGAGATAAAAAAAAAAAAGACGAAAAAGTGAGACCTTTGCATAGATTTAAAATTTATGACACTTATTTTAAATGTAGATCACATAAGCAAATGAGTTTGTATACAATGAGACTACTTATCTTTGATATAGAGATATCACAATTAATTACAATCATCCAATGTGAAATCTGATTGCTTGGTTGTATCAAAACATTCATGAAAATTTCTTTTGAACTTTTAGCTTGATCAATAAAATAAATGTAGCCACCCAATTTCACATCTAATGGTTAAGATTAATTGTGACCACCTTATTCCAAAGCTAAATAGCTCCATTATATTCTTTCCCTTAGAAGATTTATCTATGAATTTTCATCATCGTCATCATTTTGTAGTACTATTATAATAAAAAGTCCTTTTTTATTATTAATTAATTATTATTAGGCCTTGTGATGGCACAAAAGTGTAGGTGCACTACCATGTGCCACTTGTGAATGGTGTATGGTACACCATAGAGATATTAGATGCTCATTACACGTGGACATTGTCCTGTGTAAGGTTGTCACTGGAGCGGACCGTGGCTGATTAGGACTTTCAAAGTAATATACACCACAATGGAATATCGTGTACTTTTCCTTCAGCGTAATACGCATGGTACATCTAGGATGTTTAAAAGGGAAAAGTGTATATAGAGCCGAGGCTCTAAACAATCAAATTTGAGCTTACTTCAAAGATTTCATTAAAAGAGGTTGTTTTAATGCCCAAATATCATTGATCATCTCGAAATCAAGGTGCATGGACATGAAAAAAAAATGAATTTCATATTTTGAAAATAATGAATTTTGTAATGTATTTTTGGACCGTAAATTTTCAAAATTTTCAAGTTTTCATAGGTATGTCAATCTACACTATTTTTAAAGCTTTAAACTTTATAAATAAATATAACAATATATTTTAAGGCTATCATAAAGATTTTCAGTAGTGAAATCACGTTTCTCGATACTATTTGAAAGTAGACTCTAATTTGATTGTTTAGAGCCTAGGCTCTATACAAACCTCACCCATGTTAATACTCTTGGGTGATCTACTTAGGCAAAAAACGTAACTGTAATACAAATATTATTTAATGGTTTTTGTGAGCCTGAACTACTCCAATATGGTGAAGATCTCATTCTCATACCTATCGGGAACCAGAGTGGGAACACCTTTGGGATCGCGAACGGGATTGTTTATGACATGGGCCAAAAGATCCAGTAGTCTGGTATCGCAATCCGTACAATTATCTAGCTCAAAGTTGGATCCCATATACAAAGGATCTCAGTGCGAACACTTAAGGGATATGGATCCCATTTCACCGAGGCTGCCTTTCCGACTTGTCATGGTATCTCGACCCCAAATACATGGGGACCACGATATGTATAAATTGAGGTCCTCAATCCATAAATACCCCAAATACTTGGGACCGCGATCTGTATAAATTGGGATCCTCGATAGATAAATATAAAGGATCGTAATCCCAATGTTCACAGAAACTAGATCCCATGGCGCAACGAATGTGGTTCCCTCCTATTGTGTTAAATGTTTTAACTATTTTAATTCGTTATATGGTCTACACAGTTTACAACTCCAGTAGAATACTCTGTAGTCCACAATCTGAAATTCTAAGTATTTAAATCACGATGCTTGGGATCGCTACATGATGTGGATGGAGATCCACAAATATAGGGATCAAGAACTCAGAATCAGGGAATCGAGATCCCAACATGATTGGGATCAAGATCCACAAATAATGGGATCAGACCCCTCATTAGGGGGATCCAGATCGCTTCGAATAAGTGATCAAGATTCTTAGAAAGAGGATAGGAGCCCCAGCCCAAAAACATAAAACAGAGAACTTTGATTGAGATCCCTAATTTAGAGTGCGGAAGCTGGATTCGAGAGCCAGAGTTGTGCCCTTAGAGGCGATCACAAACAATTTTTTGTGGTATATATAGTATAATATTTGGAATTTATTTTTTTAAAATTTTAAAAAATTTATGTTTTTAGAAAAATCTAAACAAAAGTAAAAGTTACAAAAAGTTCGAGGTTTTAAATAACAAAAAAACAAATTCTAAGGCCTTTGAAATAAAACTTGTAAAACAATATTTATGTGTAAGTACATCCAAGATCTTTGCTTTTTGGATAAAGAAAACATGTCTATTAAAAGGAGAGTTTCATTTTCAATTGGTTTCCTATTAAATATTTCTAATTACTGTTATTTAACAAATGAGGAGAGCCACCAATAGATGGGATCCTATTTTTAGTTGAATGCCGTGTCTCCCTACTTATTTGTGGCTTTAATATTTGTCGAATAAATATATGTCTCCTGTAAATTAAACCTAAAACTACTTTTCTTGTAGCACCATTAAAACTATATTAGATGTAAACACGCGTAATGGATCTCTAATGCATGTTGGTGCGTTAAGCAGGGTCTGCCCCTCCTCAAGCGCAAGGAATGTGTGCTGTGCACTTTGACACTTTTTTCTTTCTTTTTCTTTCTTTTTTTTTTTTTTTACTTTTTTTTTTTTTTTTACCTTTTTTTTTTCCGGACTTTAAAGTTCTTAAAGTTTACTTGTTAACTTTAAATTTTTTTTTAAT